CAACTGCTTCACAGACGGAGGGCAGATGGTTTTCAAATGTCGCTCCTTGAGCGCCGCGCACATTCTTGGGAAACAGAAGATGCAATGACCTTACTGATTGAGGGCGGATCGTTTTCATACTGATTATCTCGCCTTCGCGACGCGCACATATTTGTCTAACAGTTGGAAGAGCTTCACGGATTGAGGGCGGTTCGATTTCAAACTGTGGTTATGGCCTTAGCGCCGCGCACTTTATTTTGTTGAAACATGCGTAAGAGCTTCACGGATTGAGGGCGGGTCGTGTTCAACATGTAGTTTTCGCTTTTGCGCCGCGCACATTCCGCGCACATTCGTGTTGAACATTGCACGAGCTTAACGGATTGAGGGCGGCTCGTTTTCAAAATGTGGTTCTCGCCTAAGCGACGCGCGCATTCGCTTTGAACATTGGGAAGAGCTTCGCTGATTGAGGGCGGATCGTTTTCATCAGTGATCAACTTGTTGCTCTCGCCTAAGCGCCGCGCAAACATTTGAGATGCTTTCCCTGGATCTCATGGTTCATGTACCAGAAACGGTGTTTTGAAGGCCGCAACAGTTAATTGCATTCGCAACATCGTTGGTGAGAATTGGGTTTACACTGGTCCTTCTCCTCCTTCCTCGTATGCTCCTTTTTTCAATTTCCCTTAATTTGCACAGCTCCCTGGTGTGCTTGCACGTAACCCGATGGTACTGCCTGTATTTCTCTAGGTCCACTATGACACCCGTCGGCGGATAGAAGCATGTCGGCACAACGGGAATGGATGGGTAAAAAGGGGTAGGATGTTAGATATGGCGCGAGCGTATCTAGCTTGCCCCTATCCCCCCTCTCTCCTCCCCCCTTCCCTCCCTCCCTCCCCTGCTGCCGTTCCTCCTCCTCCTCGAGGACTTTTCGCTGGCCTCCCTGATCGACCAGCACACGGAGTTCAACGACGGGGACCCGAGGTGCCCGGGGTGGGAGGGAGCGGAAGCCGCATAGTCGCGCCAGTCGTGAAGCAGCCTTTTCCCCCCAGGGGGGAAAATGAGGTGGGAAAAGGTGGGAAGAGGAGAAGGAAGAGGAGGAGGAGGTGGGAGGAGGAGGAGGTGGGAGGAGGAGGGAGGAGGAGGAGGAGGATGAGGAGGAGGTGGGAGGAGGAGGAGGTGGAAGGAGGTGGAAGGAGGTGGAAGGAGGTGGAAGGAGGAGGAGGAGAGGAGGAGGAGAGGAGGAGAGGATGAGGAGGAGGGGGAGGAGGAGGTGGAGAGCAGGAGGGAGCAGGCTGCAAACACTTCTAAGCGTGAGGAGGCTGGAGCCTTCCGTCATCGCAGACTCTCCCCTCCCTTGCCCCCCCCCCTCCCCGCCCTCCCCTTCGCCATCCCCCCCCTCCCCGCCCTCCCCCCCCCCTTCCCCCCCCCCCTTCCCCCCCCTTCCCCGCCTCCCCCCTCCTCGCCGCAGCCCCCGCTCCGGCCCTGGCCGCGCGGGGCCCCCCGGGCCGAGCCATGCCGCGCAGGCTGGCGGCGGCAGCGCCCGCAGTGGCCAGCCGGCCGCTCGGCGCGCGCGGCGGCCGCGCGGCGCTGCCCGCGGCGGCCGCGCCCCGGGGCCGCTCGTGCGCCGCGGGCGCGCGCGCGGCCGTCGAGCGGCCGGCGGAGCGCGGGGGCCATAGCTGCCTCTTCGGAGAGGCGTGCTATATATATATATATTATATATATATATATATATATATATGTGTATATGTAATTTATATATATATATATATATGGCCATGGGGCCGCGGGGGCCACGGCCGCGGGAGCCATGGAGCCGCGGTGGCCACGGCGGCCACGGGGTCGCGCGGGGGAGCCAGGCGGCCGTGGGCCACGTGGCCGGGGTCCTCGTCGGACGGGGCTCGGGCGAGGACACATCCGCTCCAGGCTGTCCGGGGCGCTCCTCAGAGCGTCCCGGGGAGGCTCCGAAGGGGCCGCGGCGCCCGAGGCGTCCTCGAGGGCCGCCGGATCCCAGGGATTCTCGATGTATCCTCGCCCGATGTTGTCCTCGTCCTGGCTTCGTCTTGCCTCGAGGGGTGGCGCGAGGTCCTCGGCCCCGAGGGCCAGGCGTGGCAGTTTCTTCAGCGCCGAGGCGGGGGGCCTCGAGGGGAGGCGGGGGTCCTCGAGGGAGAGGGGGGTCCTCGAGGGAGAGGCAAGGGGTCCAAGAGGGAGAGGGGTGTCCTCGCGGGAGAGGGGTCCTCGAGGGAGAGGGGTGGGCGAGGGGGGTCCCCGCGGGAGGGGGTCCTCGAGGGAGGGGGGGTCCTCGAGGGAGGGGGGGTCCTCGAGGGAGAGGGGTCCTCGAGGGAGAGGGGTGCCGGTCCCAGGAGTCCGCGAGGGCCTCCGAAGACGTTCACAGACGGCTCGGGGGGGCGAAGGCCGCATGTTTTAGAGTAAGTCTTGTCAGAGTACGGTGGGATGTGTAGCGTTGTGAAAACTTGCTGGTCACGAGTCAGTTTAGTCTACATGCGGTTGATTTCAGGGGCTTGCTAAACGTTCGTGTATGCAGACCATCGACATGCAGTGCTCTGCGTACGAGGAGCTCGTCCCTTGGGGGGGGGGGGGGGCCTCTGGGGCCTGGGGCCCGGGTTCACCACAGTGCCCCGCTTCTCCTCCATGCCGAGCCAGCGGGATGGTGAAGGGCATCCACCTGTGGCGGATGAAGCAGGACAAGTCGGAGATCTTCGAGGTGCAGGAGCGGGCGTACGAGGACTACATGCAGAAGAAGGCCATCGACGACGATAGGCCGCTGGGCTTCGACCGGTCCGAGGTGCCAGGGATGTTCTACAACAAGGACCGAGGGACAGAACACTGCATAAAACATTTTTTTTATTATTTTTTGGTTTTGTTTATAGATATATATATATATATATATATATATATATATTCATTTTTTTACCCCTCAAAAAAATTAAAAAAAAACACTGCATAAACATCATCTCTCGGAGGGAGCTCCGCGCGGGCTCCGGGGAGATCGGTGCCGGCGGCCCGTGCCCTGGCGCGCGGAGCTCCGGGCAGGGGCGGCGCGCCCGAGTCGCCGCCGGGGGCCGGCGCCGATCCGAGAAGTCCGCGCGGCGCGCCGCCGGTTTCTGTTTCTGCCGTCTTTCGGAAGGAGCCTGTGTTTTTTTGGGGATGCGGGCAAGTTTACTTGCATGGCGTCCCCCGCCCCCCCCCCTCCCCTCGCCCCTCCTCGAACACTAGAAGAGGCGACGATCAGCGTGCAAGTGCCTTCGATCGCGTGATTTCGCGCCCCCCCGAACGTAGCAGTCGTTTGCGGCTTGCTTCAGGCTCAGCCCCCCCCCCCCCGTCCGTGCAAGTAAACTTGCCAGAGTCTAAAAAAAATAGCGCCAAGCCGGGCAAGGGCTGCTAAATCTGTGGCTGCTAAAATCGACCTCCGGGAAGGTGTCTTCGTCCTTCCGGGAAGAGGCCCGTTGACTGTTTCGCGAGCCGCGCCTCATTCCGGGAAGTTGTTTTTTCCTTCCGGGAGGGCCGTTTTAGCAGCCATGGCTTTAGCAGCCCTCGCCCAGCTTCCCAGTCTCCTGCTTCTGTTATGTTGAAAAGGAGAGGAACGTGTACCTCGAGCAGGCCACCAGGCAGCTCCTGTGGCTGGACGAGGCGGCGCAGGTGCTCGAGGGGAAGACCCGCTGACCATGACCACGATGTCGCGGGAGCCCGTCGACGCCGATCTTGGCCAGGGTTCGCGCTGGCCGTCGCGGGCCCGTGAGGATGATCCGCGAATCGACGGGGACCAGGGCGGACGGTGCCCAAGATCGGCACCGACGTTTCCGCATTCAGTCCTTGTCCTCCTCCTTCGCCTCGGCCTCCTCCTCCTCCTCCTCCTCCTCCTCCTCCTCCTCCTCCTCCGCCTCCGCCTCCACCTCCTCCTCCTCTTCCACCACCTCCTCTTCCTCTTCCACCTCCTCCTCCTCCTCCTGCTCCTCCTCCTCCTCCTCCTCCTCCTCATAATCCCTCCTCCTCCTCCGCGAGACGGTGATGATCCCCGCGTCCTTCCGTTCCAGGTGCACAGGCCCTTCCGAGAGGGCGAGGACACCGGCCTCTCGTTCGCCGCGGGGGCCGCCGCGAGCCCAGGCTCCGCGGCTGGCGCGGCCCCGCCGAAGCAGCTCATGATCTCGGACCTGCACGCCGCCGCAAGGGCGTTCAAGATGGACATGGCCCACCTCGATCGGCCCTCGGGGGAAATCGCTGATCTTCAGGGCCTTTCTCGGGCCTCGGGACCATCGAAAAACGACTCGGGTGGAAAAAATGTCCCAGAGAATGGGTTCAGATCTCCTCTGGGTGTCGAAGTTGTGAGACAAATCACGACGTCGGGCGTCTGGGTCTCGTGAGGAGGTGGGGGGCCCGGCGTGTGTGTGTACCCCATCGGGCCACACCGATGGCACACGGGCTGCGTTGGCCTTCAGTACACCGCCTGCGTCGTACAGAAGGGCTTCGGTGGACAAAGACACATTGGCGCTAACAGTAACAAACGCTATGAGGATCAGATAGAAGAAGAAGAAGAATAACACGAATCACGATGCCAATAATACTACTCACAAGAAATCTTGGAATCATGATGATAATATGGATTTTCAAAAGATGCACGACAATAAAATTAAGAGCAATACTACTATTAATTGTTATGATGCTTAGAATAGGAATACTCTGGATGATACGATACGGTTAATAGTAATACCAACATTATTCGCAGCAGTACTAACAACACTACTTACACTAGTACGAATGATACCAATCATGGCGATAAAAACAACGATATAACCAATATGAATATTAATTGTACACTATGCGTAATAGCAATGGTCATCGCATTGTTGTTACGTTTTAATGTTCGTAGTATCCTTATTGCTATTCGTAGTATTATTAGTACTATCAGTAGTATTAATACTTTTAGCCTTCGTATTGTTTAATAGTGTTCGTGATTTTCGTATGATTGATATTGTTATTATTCATAATACTACTAACACTAATCATAA